CCTCGGCCTCCCAAAGTGCTGGGATTACAGGCGTGAGCCACCGCGCCCGGCCTGAAACCAGATTTTTAAGAATCTTGAGAGCAGGTAGGCAACACAACTCAAATGTCTTTGTCCTCAACACTGCCCAACTTAGGGTTAAGCACTTATTGAGTGCTCACTATTCCTACCAGGTGGAGGAACAAATGCTGGAGGAAGGATCAAATACCCTTTTCAGACTTGTTTGTTTTTGAGGCAGAGTCTCACTCCGTCTCCCTGGCTGGAGTATAGTGGTGTGATCTTGGCTCACTGCAACCTCCACCTCTTGGGTGCAAGTGATTCTCCTGCTTCAGCCTCCTGAGTATCTGGGATTACAGTCGCCTGTCACCACACTTGGCTAATTTTTTGTATTTTTAGTAGGGATGGGGTTTCACCATGTTGGCCAGGATGGTCTCAAACTCCTGACCTCAGGTGATCCACCCACCTCAGCCTCCCAAAGTGCTGGGATTACAGGTATGAGCCACTGCCCCTTCTCAGAGATTTTGAGCCTAAGACCAACCACTCTTAACAGGGCAAGAACTTCTCAAAGAAATTCAGAAATCCTAGGGTGTTGGAGGCATGCCGTAATATTGTCAGGGGTCATGAAGTTAACATTAATGTGAGAATCAGTGGGCATAGGAGTGGTAGGTACCAGGGGTTGAATGGGGAGAAATCCTGCTCTGCCTAAAGTTATTGAAATTCAGATTTTCATAAAACACTCTTTCAGACAAACATTCCAACCATGGTGGATTCAACCGAAGAATCACAAGTTTGTGAACCTTAATTGAAAGTCTTCCCAATAATTCATCTCCATGAACAGGCTAGATGGTATAAAATCTGTAGAAGCAATTCTGGAAAATCAAGCCTTGTACGGAGCTCCAGAAGCGAGCCTTATTCATGTGCCTCCATGAAAGGTAGTGCTTACAATTTCTGCTCACCAATCTAAGGCTAGACCACACAGACTGGGAGGAGTCCTTCTTTAACTCTCAGAAAGTTATTTAAAAGAACAGCTTTGTCCTTTCCTTCATACATCATATACTGTCCTCTTTCTGAACCTCTCAATACTGACCATATATCATTGCTGGTGACATTAAAAATCTGTTTTCAAGATTTAACAATATGATGCCTGCCCTATCCTCAGGTTGGTTTGTTTTTGTTATCTTCCCAGTACAGTTCATAGAGTTCCTCTGATCTATCCACTATCTCTCTTATAGGACATATAGTGTGCATAGAAACTCAGTTATCTAGGGATAGGTGTCAGGCCATTGTAGTAAAGGAGAGAGTTGAGTCATAAGGGTATAGAGAGTAGAGAGAACATGAAAAGGTACATGCTGCCCCTGACCTCAGCATCTTTTGCCCCAGGCTCTGTAGCCCATACAGAATACCAGACACCCTCGTGTGAACATTGAATTACCACAGTAAGCCTCTCTAAAAACAGATAAAGGTCTGTGATGCTATCCCTGTCTTGCAGAACAGGAGGGCTTTGTGATGCAATCTGGTGGTTTCATCCCTCTTCTGTGAGGCAGAAATGACAAGGTGTAGAATCTGGAGGCATTAGGTTTCAAGACAGTGAAAGACTAGGGAGAGGGATGGCTAGTGAGGTTTAGATCATGTTGAGTCCTACCTTTGTTTTGTGGGATGATCCATCTGCATTATTGCATTAATTATTTGGCAAGTGAAAAAGAGCCGCCAAAAATTAAGGTTGGGACCTAACAGGAGCTGTTGCCGGGTAGGGAAACACTATGACCATGCCTAAATTGATATGCCTCAAACAATATTTTATCCCCCAGCTTTCTCTTGTTACTCTTACTCCTTGCTTTTTTAAGGGGGTTTCCTCACTGGATACCAGAAGAGCTCCCAATTTGGGTAATTATTTCAGTTGGGGTCATTTAGAGCCACTTGATGGCTGAACTCCTTTGACTTCTAGACCCATCCATTCTCTAATCTGTTCCACTTTTCCTCCTGTCCCATCCTAAAGTCCCCACAGAACTTATCAAAGGAATGGGGGTGGGAGGCATGGAGTATGGAAGAGCCTGAAAGTGAGTCAGAAATAAGCAAATAAGGAAAGTCTTGGGGTGAGAAGAATGTAGAAAGGAAAGGTAGAAGAGTATATAAAATTGAAACACAGAAAAAGATTGGGAAATGTTTATGAGTTTTGTTTCATTTTAGATATGGGAAAAATGCGGTAGCAGCTTTATGTTTAATGTTTTTGTCTTTAAGTGTCACCGAAGAGTTAAACAAAAGTCTAGAGATACAACATCAAAAGGTAAAGTCCCAGTCTCTCCTCTGATTCACTTCCACTGTGGATAAGGTTCCCTTGGATCCTGGCCCTCTATGACCCCTGTGCTAGGAACCAGGTGCTCTAACCACTGCAGGCTCTAGTACCCCCATGGGACAATTTCTCATGAAAGACTTCCTTGGGTGGAAAACCAAAGGATTAAAAAAATTCTCTATCTTATCCTCCTGAGAATAAAGAATGAGGAAGTAGGGCAGAAGTCCTTAACTGAGTCATTTACTAGTTTTACAACCCTGTGGAAGTCACTGCAACTCTCAGTCTTGTTCTCCACAAAATGGGCATCTGATGATCCTTCCTCACTCCCAGTATGATGGTGAAGAACAAATGAGATGAATCCAGAACAACACATCGTAAATGGTTAAGTTGTACACAGATGTGACTTTGTGTTCTGACTCTTGGGGGTTTCAGTATCCTCTCATTGAAAGGCCTTCAACTTCTTATACGATGTCCCTGAATCCTCTCCTGTTCCACGTAACACTATTTCCTGTTTCCTCAGCTAGGAGAACTTCCCAGGAAGAAGCCGAGAAGTTGTGGAAGCTGCTCTTTCTCATGAAAAGGTAATCTCTTGTTCTTTGCAGTCTCCCAGCTGCTAGCCTGGTCTGTGATCATTTCTCAGCTTAGCTTGGGGTAGAGATGAGAACAGGGTTAATGGCTGAGAGGGAGACATAGACAGTGGAGGCTGGTTCACTGGCTGACAGAGTTGACAGGACATGGGAGCTGGGCCAGACATCTCAGGAGGGAAGAGTCACCCAATTCTGCTTTGGGCTAGGGCCACAGTAGTTCTGGAATTCAGGCCTGTACTAGTGCATAATTCATAAAAGACTCTACATGGGGTTGCATTCAGCCATGAGATAAGTTATTCAGTCAAGAGGAATTTTGGATAAAGAAGTCATCCCTGTTTTATTCTCTTTGTTCTCTCTCCTCTGAGTCTGACTGGACTCTGCTGACATTACCTCCTCTGGTTCTGTCATTAGGGAGATAGCCCTCAGATGGCAGCCTATCATCTTTTCTTTTTAATAATTCTAGAGAACAGGATTGATTCCCAAAAGTTGTTGGGTACATCAGCAGGGATACCAAATAGACCTCAGAATGCAGAGGTCCTACATGAACTTCAAGCTCAAATACCAGGCTTTGGCTTTCTTAGCCTCAAATGAAACTGGTCCGGGTTCTAACTGGTGATGTTCCTGGTGATGCACCATCAGCTAACCACCTGGCTTGTTTCTCCTAGTTCAGCTTTTTAACAAGTTCAACAGAGAACTGACCCCAGCTCCCAGCCCTCTCTGAGGGCCATGCCCCCGCCCTCCATGGGTTTTCTGAAGCCTGGCCCAACAAGCTCCAGACCTTCAACCCAGCCAAACTTGCCAAATGGCATTTTGTTTTTCTTTTCTTTTCTTGCTTTTTATTTATTTTATTTTTATTTTATTTTTGAGACAGAGTTTCACTCTTGTTGCCGGGCTGGAGTGCAATGGCACGATCTCGGCTCACTGCAACCTCCACCTCCCAGGTTCAAGTGATTCTCCTACTTCTGCCTCCTGAGTAGCTAGGACTACAGGCATGCACCACCATGCCTGGTTAATTTTTATATTTTTAGTGGAGACAGGGTTTCACCATGTTGGCCAGGCTGATCTCGAACTCCTGACATCAGGTGATCCACACGTCTCAGCCTTCCAAAGTGCTGGGATTACAAGTGTGAGCCACTGTGTCTGGCCTCCAAATGGCATCTTCTTAGGAAGAAAAGCAGAGAGGTACACAACAAGAGAGTGTAGGCCCCAGGATTTTCAGATCTAGGAAAGAACAGTGGCAACCCTGTCCCACACTCTTCTGAGAAGTCAGATGTCACTCTATCATTAATGTTTGTCACGTTTCTCCTCCCAGCCAGGGCTGGCTTCCTCAGGAAGGAAGTGTGCGGCGAATCCTGTGTGCAGATCCCTGCTGCCAAATCTGCAATGCTATGGCTCTGGATATTCAGCAATTGCTGGCGAGTGAGAATAGCCTGATCTCCCTGACTTCACTGGGGCCATCACAGGGCTCCTCTTGCCTAGAGGCTTTGTCCACGTCTAGTGCGTCTTTTGAGCAGAGTCAGGATCTGGGTTCCGAGAAATCCAAAGAGCATTCACTGGCATCTGTAACAACAACACGGTCACAATTAACAGATCAGAAATCTTTAACCCAGTCAGCAACCCAGTCAGCTGGTGCAGACAGCATCCAAGATTCCTGGTCTGATCACTTTCAGCGAGGTCAGGGATCTCAAGTCCCTGCTGTGTCCCAGGGCATGGGATCTCTGTCTTCAAACTTTGAGAAGCATGGAATTCCTCTAAGCCAGCAGGAGAGCGAGAAAAACAACTCCAAATTTGTCCTGGAGCACCAAGGTCAGGACAAATTTGAATACTAGATTCCCTTTCTTTCCCTGAACCCAGAGGTCCCAAACCTAAAACAATACCCTATGATCCGGCATTCCTTTAAACTGCTGTTGCAATGTCCAAAAGGTCCTGAGAAATCTTCAAGCACAAGGATATTAATGCACATATTCCCACAATTGAGGGATCCCAAGATCTGTGGAGGAGTTTCTGTGGCAGCTTATGCCACACTGCTTCTAATATTCCAAAGGGTGGAAAACAGACAAACAGCCATTTCTTTCACCCTGAATGCCATCTCTAAGGCCTCTGTTGAAGAGATGAGCTTCCATCCCCTTGACTCTGGGTTTCATGGGAGGCTAGATGGTCCACTCTAGCTTTCAGGGTTTTTGAAGGATCCACTATGGACTCAGAGCAGAAAAATTCCTGTGAACAAATCCCAAACCCCATGGCTCTAGCTCCACCCTCTCCCTTCTTTGAGCTTCTAAGTGGCCTCTGTCCATTTCCTGGGGGATGCACTGAGGCCTCCGTGTGCCACATCTGTAGCTACCTTACTGTGGTTTCTCTTTTCTGCACAGTAAGTTTCTGGTTTGCCTTTAGAGATCTCCACAACAGGGGAGCCCTTGGCCCTTTCTCTTCAATGATTTCTCCTTCATCTCTGTACTGAAAATCCTCCCCTCCTTCCCCACCTTTTTCCCCACATTCTTCATCTGACCACTGAGAAACCCAGATTAATGTCCTATATCTGACTCAGGCTAAGTGAAAGCCTTGGAGTGGCATCTGCTGTAGAGGCAGCTCCAGCTTCAGTGGAGTTTGCCAGCTGTTGTTCAGAGATCTCTGTAGATGCAGGAAATCATATGATGTAAGCCCTGGGACATGTGGCAGACTTTCCCACTAGATCTAGGACCTCTTTGATTGGGGAAGGCCATGTCAGTCCTCAAGAGGGAGGCAGCATTCTCCTAGAGCATGCCCAGAGGCTGCTAGGATTCCACCTCCAGGAGCAATTGAAATAGAGGGTTGATTTACCATTGCTGGGACCTGATCCAAAAGATCCAGCAGTCTATCCAGTTGCTCCTGTGACCTGATGACCAGTAATCCCTGCCGTGGAACAGCACAGCCCTGACCTATGGGAGTCTCCCCAGCATGGAGCACTAGAGGCTAGTGGGAACAGTGGCCTGCCCTAATCCACTGTGGCAGCAGGGCCAGTCCACAATTGTTTCCTCAGGCCAAGGTAATGTCACAGAGCCAACAGATCATGTGTGGGGAGCTACACATAGATTACAAATGTGGGGAGATCTGCTAGGGCATTGTCCCTGCCCACATCTGCCATTACTGGGACTGCAAATCACTGGATCTGTGGTATTCCCAAGGGCCTGGGCAGCAACTTGGTGCCACTGTCCTCCAGAAAGCAAACACCTGGACCTGGGAGTGACACATATCAGCCCCTACACAGATCAGGAAGGGACATTCTCAATACCAACAGGCCCTGACCAGCAGCAACAGGCCTTACCAGATGCTGTTACTGATGATCCTGAGCTGCCCAGAGCCTGTCCCACAAAGCGACTGAGAAACTTGAGACAAGTTTTGGCCTTTCTGTCAGGGCTGCCTGCTCTCTATTATGTGGCTTCTTCCAGGGCTGTGGTCTAGGCAGTCACTCACCAATCCACAATCACAGACTGAGCCCATCAGAGCCACTGATTCAGTCTCATCTGAACAGCAATATATAAGCCCTGGGCCATGCCTTCAAGACACCAATGAGGCTTGTGTGGATAATGTACAAGTGTTCTGGACTGAAATACAAGCTGATGGAGGTGGTACCACTAGAGAGGCAGACAGATCCTCACAGCCCCTAATCACTCAAGGCACCCATCTTGGCCAAACTCAGTATCTACCTGAAAAAGGAATTCCTTGACATTTGGGAAGTTCCAAAAGACAAGGGAGTCCAGGAAAGAAATTTCGACGATCCCAAAGAATATCTCCACTCAGGGATCCTTTAGGAGTCTAAAGATTGCTAAACCAAGGAAAAACATTGCTCCAGAAACTCCCTATCCCACTAGCAAGCTCCAATCCTGTACCCTCTGTTTGGTTGAGCTTATTCAACTTACTCTAACAGTTTTGCAAATTATTCTTACTTGGTCTTTTTGCCCCAAGTAATCCTGGAGGATGCTCTGGAACTCTCACTGCTCCAGATCCAGAATGGGTTGGCCTAAAAGAATAGCTTGCAGTTGAACCAAAGACAGTGCAGCAGAGCTACACGCTCTGTTCCAGAGCAGTATCCCATGCCCACTGGGATTCTGGGATCTCATACCCAGTGGGGGCATGACAGAGGCCCAGGTATTTTGTGTTCAGCTGGAGGCTAGAGTGAACAACCCAGCCTGGAAGGCCCTGAACCTCTTTGACCAGGTATTTGCAAGAGTGAGGACAAGTCCCTACCCCAGCAGAGAAAACAGATGACTCAGTGACATTCAATGACTTTTAAAGCAGCTTGGAATCACAGAGAAGGGGGTACAGCATTGGAGCTCTCCCCAGCCAGAAAGAACACCCATTCTGCCAAGGTTCAGGGGCCACAGGGACACTTCTAAGAAGAATTTCAGAGCTCACAACTTGCCAAATATATCTCCAGGATCTTTCTCAGGTAAAACTTTAGTTTAGCTAAGATGGCTGCCGTGAGTAGGGACTAGCAAGGATCTGTTCGGATCTGCAGAGCCCCATTTCCATCTTTTCAGGGCTGGCTATGGTTATTTCACCAGCTTCCCCCTACCCTGAGTTCTAAGAGCATCCTCCAGCATTACTTGGGGCAAAAGAACCAGATAAGAATAATTTGCAAAGCTGTTAGAGTAAGCTGAATAATCTCAACCAAACAAGGATTCCTGAGAATGCCAAATTTGGAGTGCCCAGAGCTTAAAGGGCCAACTTACTGGGCCAAAATTTTGCAAGTACAGTATTTAAAGGGTAAATTTTTTTCTGATCCAAAGTTTTCAGGGTTAAGTAGTTCAGGGCCATATTTTACAGGGCAAAATTTGCAGGGCCACACTTTCTAGGGCCAAGTGTTGCAGGATCTGGTAAGGGCCATCCATACTCACAAGAGTGCCATCCTTCCAGAAGCTCCGGAAGTTCGCTTGGATAACAAGATGAAGCTGTTTCTGCACTGGATTAACCCTGAAATGAAAGATCGAAGGCATGAGGAATCCATTCTCCTTTCTAAGGCTATGAGAGTGACCCAAGACAGGACAGAAAACACTGAGAAGAGTCCAACTGTCACCAAAGATCACGTGTGGGGTGCTACAACAGAGAAGACAACAGAGGACCCTGAGGCTCAGCCTCCCTCTACTGAGGAGGAAGGCCTGATCTTCCGTGATGCCCCCCAGTACCTAAATAATCTGTTCTAGTGATACTTCCTTCAGTCCAGCCAATCCTGGGTCCTGTGCCACTCCTACAAATGCTCCAAACTCTGTCCTCAAATTACTTATGCCACTCAACCAGGAAATCTATCCCAGGTCTCAACTCACCTCAGCAGAAGGCACTGGTTTATACAAGAATGCTCATTCCAAGAAAAGGAGTTCATAGGTTCCTGAACCTCCGCATCCCCCTGAAAAAGGCTTTCATTGTCATTTCCATTAACATGCATGTGAAGCAGGGCATTCTCCAAATATACTTTATAACTTTAAGCAAAGAGCCACCTGTTTGTGCCTCTTCATTTTCAATGTGTTATATGATAGACAGAGAGAGAGAGTAAAGGACCTAAAAAGTACTTCTTATGTGGTAGAGAAGCTTAAATCACATTTTATTTCAGATGGGTCAGCATTCCACATGACTCCTCCCAGCCCCACCCTAGAATGTGGATAAACGGACTTGAACAGACAAGAAAGGCACTTGTTTTAGGGGCATTGAAAGTTAAGGTCAGGCTTGAATTCTTATCACGGTGTCCCATGGTGTGTTGGTCCCAGAGGAGGAATGAGGACATGATGGTAGTATAAGAAGCAGTGGCCAGGAGTCTAATGCGTTTTTGGCCCACAGGCAAAATTCATTGATGGCTTCTATATAGTGTCTGCCCACAACCTGGAGGGATTGTCTTTTAGAGTGCCATGGTGCTCCTTCCTTTAGGAGTGTTTATCAAAAGCACACAGCTAAATATGGCAGATGTCAAAGCCAGATGATAGAATCTCCCTGTCTTTTCCCTGTTGTTATTGAGATCTTTAAGGGTAACCCACCTGAGAGTCTGCTCTAGTCCTGTGGCCTGTTCCAATCTCCATTGCCTTTCATTTGCATGGAATGAATGCTGCCTAGAATGAAGACTAGTTGATGAAGAGGTCCCTAAAAGGGTCAGAATAAAAACAACTTTGAACTGAGTCTTGCATTCAACAGTTCAAATATTCAAGTACTTACTAAGTGTTGGGCACTATGCCAGGCACTAGAGAGATAACAGTGAACAATTCACAGGCCTTGTCTCATGAAGCTCATGAACTCTGGGATAGACAGTCATGTAAAAACTCATTAGAAGCAATAAGGTGAAAGTACATAGGAGAGCACTTAATCTAGTTTTGGGGAATGTTCATGGAAAGTTTCCTAGGAGAGATGATATGTAGGCTGAGTTCCAAAGGATGAGCAGGCGCTAGTCTTGAAGGAGGTAGGGAGTGGAGAGGCTTCCCCAGGCTGAGGGTACAACAGGAACAAAGGCACAGCATCAAACAACAGCATGCTGTGTTAGAGAATGGTGACTCACTGCAGAAACCCCTGTATAATTAAAAAAAAAAGTACATTAAAATGTTTAAAGGATCAGAATGAGGTTGTCAAGCTGGAGAATGAATGGAATTCATTGACCCATTCTTCACTCCTTCAATAAATACTGAGCACCTATGATATGCCAGGCACTTTTATAGGCACTGGGAATACAGCAGTGAACATAAGACAAAAAAAAAAATCTGATTTCTCAAGGAGCTTACATTAGGAGCATGCCTGGGAGGAATAGAAAAGAAGTATAAATAAAACACATAGTATATAGAAGGTGACCAGATATATGCAAAAAATCAGGGTAACAGGATTAGAGAAGACTTGAATGGGGGTACAGTTTTAAATAAGGAGCTCAGGGCAGGTCTCACTAAGAAATTAACATGTGAGCAAGGACTATAGGGTGATGAGAATAAACCATGTAGGTAAATGAGGAAGAGCATTCTGGTCAGAAATTATAGCTAATGCAGATGCCTGGAGGTTGGAGGATGCCCAGCCTGTCAGAAGGAACAAGGAAGCCAGTGAACCTAAAGCAGAGTAATAAAGGAATAAAGGGAGAAAGTGGTAGAGGATGACTCCAGAGTGGTAAAGAGCCACATGGTATAAGGCCTGGTAGGTCAATGCAAGGAAGCTGGCTCTTACTTTGAGTAAATTGGGGAGCTGTTAGGGAGTCTGCTTAGATCTGACATGTCTTAAAAAGGATCACTTAGGTCATGGTACTAAAAATAGAGCATTGGGGGTATAGATTTCGGTAGAAGCAGGGAGATTAGTTGTAAGGTTACTCCAGTGATTATAGCAACAGAGGAGATTACAGGCATTTAGGTGCTGGATTCAGTTTGAAGGTAGAGACAATAGGATTTACCAATAGATTGGATGTGGACAATAAGAGGAAAAAAATGTCAAGGATAACACCAATGTTTTTGCCCTGAACAACTGGCAGGATGAAGTTGGCATTAATTGACATGGGAAATACTGACATTGGAGTAGGTTTGGTGTTACTGGGTGATGGGAGATGGGGAGTCAGGAGTTCACATTTGTATTGTATGAGATGAATATATGTTGCTTAGACAATTGGATCATTTGAGCCTGGAGCTGCAGGCAGATAGACAGCTAGATAAAGATAGCTAGGTAGGTAGGTAGGTAGGTAGGTAGGTAGGTAGGTAGGTAGATAGATAGATATAAAACTATAAGACTAGATATGACCACCAAAGGAGTGAGTGTAAATGAAAGAGATCTAAGGACTGGTCTCTAGGGCTCTTTATTGTTAAAAGATTGAGAAGAGGAGGAGAAACCCATAGGCAGAGGAGACTGAGACACAGCAGCCAGCAAGATAAGAGGAAAGCTAGAAGAGTGGTATACTGGAAGCCAAGAAAGGAAAGTGTTTCAAGGAGGTGACCAACAAAATGAGAAGTTGCCAGTCAGTCAGTTAAGATGAGGACTTGTAGTTGACCAATAGATTTAGGAATATAAAGATCACTAATGACCTTGAGAATAATAGCCCCAAGTGAGTGATGGAGGAACAGATGTGACTGGAATGGATTCAAGAGAGAATGGAAGGAGAACAGTTTGTGACTGCAAGTGTAATCAACTTTTTCAAAGGTTTTTGTTTCATAGAGGTGCAGGAGAGCACAGTGGGATCCAGAAGGAGTTTTTTTTTTGTTGTTATTTATTTATTTAAGTTCTGGGGTACATGTGCAGATCGTGTAGATTTGTTACATAGGTATACACGTGCCATGGTAGTGGTTTGCTGCATCCATCGCCCCATCATCTACATTAGGTATTTCTCCTAATGCTATCCCTCCCCAGTCCCCCCACCCCTTGCTATTCCTCCCCTAACCCCAACCCCCCAGACCCAAGTGTGTGATGTTCCCCTCCCTGTGACCATGTATTCTCATTGTTCAACTCCCACTTATGAGTGAGAACATGCAGTGTTTGGTTTTCTGTTCTTGTGTCAGTTTGCTGAGAATGATAGTTTCCAGATTCACACATGTCCCTGTAAAGGACATGAACTCATCCTTTTTTATGGCTGCGTAGTATTCCACGGTGTATATGTGCCACATTTTCTTTATCCAGTCTATCATTGATGGGCATTTGGGTTGGTTCCAAGTCTTTGCTATTGTGAACAGTGCCTCAATAAACATACACGTGCATGTGTCTTTATAACAGAATGATTTATAATCCTTTGGGTATATACCCAGTATATATTTTTATTTCTAGATCCTTGAGGAATCACCACACTGTCTTCCACACTGGTTGAATTAATTTACACTCTCACCAACAGTGTAAAAGCATTCCTATTTCTCCACATTCTCTCCAGCATCTGTTGTCTCCTGATTTTTTAATGATCACCATTCTAACTGGCGTGAGGTGGTATCTCAATGTAGTTTTGATTTGCATTTCCCTTTTTTTTTTTTTTTAAGACAGGGGACTTAGTCTATTGGATGGTTGGATGGTGATAGAAAAGATCCAGTCAAGAGGGATAAGCAAGACAGCTTGGCAAGGGGAGAATTTCTGAAAGAATGCTGTGGTGTGGAAGTGAAGAAGTGAGGGCAAGTACCCAAGTCAAAGAGCTGGCTTTTACTAAAAGCAGATATTTTGCTGGTGGTAGAAAGGAGTAGAATTAATGATGGAGGACATCATGGATTAGAAGAAAGAATCTCTCCATATATAAGGGAGTGTGGGCACAGACCCAGAGGGATGAGTGAGGAGCTGGGAAGGGACATGGCTGTGGGAAGGAGGAATGGTATGGAGAACCAAAGGCCGAAAACTGGGGGTAGAGAGGGATTCTGGAATTTACCATGGAAAGTTTCTATTAGGGCCCAAGCAGTTGGTGGCAGTGTGAGAGTGTTGGTGGGCAGGGAAAGGTGGTCAAAGCTGCTGCTGATATCTGTGCAGCAGGTGCTCTTGGAATACTGTGCCATCAGGAGAGATCACAGAGAAAGCTCTAAATGCATGGAGACTGAGCAAGAGCATGGGGCTGGAGATGAAGAAACAGGGCAGGGGTGACGAACTAGTGCTCAGAGAGGTGAGGGACCAGTGAGGTTATATAGGTGGGAGGAAAGAACAGAAGCAGGAAGACAAAGAGGCCTTTGGCCACCTGATATCCCTGAGAGGGTGGCACCTTTGCATTCTACTTCCAACCTACCACAGAAGAGCCAAGAGCTGAAGAAAGTGCAAGATGTAAAATGACTTCTTTATGACATGATGTGAGGGACAGTTGGGATGCCTCTAGTTCCTAAGGAAATTCAGGATCACTCACCATCCCATCGTGAAAAGGAGGAGGTGGCAGGACTTTCTTACTTGGGCAGGACCCCCAACATTTAGCACAATGTATCCACTTCTAAAAGGATGCAGAAAGCCCAGATAGGAAGAAGCATGGATGTGTCTATCTTCTGAATGCTGATTCTGTGCCTAGATGGCCTCCAGGCCATGGAGGCACAAGGTCTAGGCCTACTGAGCCAACACTTAACAGGTGTTTGCATAAAGCATCCCCAAAGATCAAAGGAGGTTTTGTGTTAAGCACATCCTGCCTGCCTGGTGGGAGTTGGGCAGAGAGTGATGAAGGAGGAAGACACAGAGTGAAAGAAGGTGACTCAGAAGGGTCACAGCAGCATCAGGTGGGAACCTGGGGGCAATGTGCACACATTTTGGTTTACAGTGGGTGGAGCAGGTCCTTCCTGTGGTCCCCCACAGGCTCCCACCCGCCCACAGAGATTTTGATTATGGTCATTTCAGGCAACAGGCCACCATGATTGCTCGACTTTTGTACCTGGTCACCCCTAGCAGGGAAGTCATAGAATATGCTGAGTGCAGAAGTGAATGTGGAAGCATCACCTTGCTTTGTTCAGTCCTGTCATGCCAGTCTCTTGCCAACATGGGACTGGGAGTCCCTGAGCAGGAGCAGAAAGTCCTTGTTCTGTTCAAAATTCCATCTTGTTGG